AAGGGCCCACGTGACAACTTAAAAGGTCACGCGGGCGGGTCGGGTGGGTGTAACACCGAAAGGGGGATCCATTTGAAGGACCCACGTGATAACTTAAAATGTCATGTGGGTCGGGGCAAAGGGGTTTCTCTTAGGGCGCTGATAGACAATGTTAATGGTCTATCATCGTCCCAAGTCGTGAGAAAGGGGGGGGGGCTTGTGCGCAGCGGCAGAAGATGGAGAAGATACCGGAGTTGCAGTGGGTTTCACGGCGAAGTATGGAGGAGCCTAGCCCACTGCGACACTCCTCAGAAAGGCCGAATCCAAGATTCGCTAGAGAAAGAACTGAAGAGAGGGAAGAAAAGGATGAAGGTTGGGCGCAATGCTGTGAAGGAGATGAAGAAGCGGAGGACCTTTCTGCTGATGGTACTGCGTGGGCAGTGTAAACGACGAAGGTAGTTGTGCTGGAGGTGACTTGGATGGGTGGAATATTGCAAGCTTATTTCAGGGTGTAGATTGCAATCGGGTCAACTCATTCCCAAGATTACAGAGTGTGCAAGGATTATCAGAAGGGGTAAACCGGGAGAACAGGAAGCAGAGCAGGAACACACCATCTAGGGGTGAACCAGGGGTAGAGTGGAAAGATCACCAGATTGACCAAAGGATAGAAGTACTTCCCAACCAACTAAGGGAGACAGATGTTTACCAACCTCTGGAACAAGAGAGGGAGGCCAGGAGCAGTCCTCTTCTAGCTTGTCCATCAATCCCAGGTAACCAAGTGAATTCAGTTTGTGCAACTAATGTGTCTCCTGTGTCTTTGGTTCCAGATTCTGTTTATGTTCCATGTCCTGTAGCCCATGAATATGCAGCCGTGCTAGAAGGCGGGCTCTCCGAGGAGGGGGAGAGGGGAAGGAAGGAAAGTGGGAAGGGGTTAGTGGAGAGGAGGGAAGGGGAGGAAGGAAGAGGGGAGGGGTTAGTGGAGAGGAGGGAAAGGATTGAGGGTAGAGATGGAGGGAAAGGAACAGGGATAGAGGGAGGTAACAGGAGAGGGAGGATGGATGGAGAGGAAAGAACAGAGGTGGGACCAGGGGAGAGGAAGAACGGGCAAATGGGCAGAGTTGGAGGAGTTTCTGTAGGAAGGGTAGGGGTGGAGGACTCGGTGAGAGAAGACTTGTTAGCAGAATTTGTAAGGAAGTTGGGTTGTAGGTTGGAAGATTTGAATGTGTTGAAAGAAAGATTATAGAAGAGGAAGAAGGAGATCAGAACAAAGAAGAGGAGATTGAGTGAAATAGAGAGATTTAGAAGGAGACAAGAAGCTCGGGGTAAAAGGAGATAGGAGGAAAGGGGGAAGGTAGTGGAAGGTGGCAAGGGGTTTAAAAAAGAAGTGGAATGAAGATTCTTAGTTGGAATGTGAGGGGAATTGGGAGGGCAAGGAAGAGAGCGACAATAAAAGAGGTAATAAAACGGTTTGACCCAAATATTGTGCTGTTGCAAGAGTCTAAGAGAATGGAGTTTAATAACAAATGGGCACGAAGTGTTTGGAAAGCTAGGGTGATTAGCTGGGTGGTTGCTCCCTCTTGGGGTGCGTCCGAGGGGATTGTAACAATGTGGAAGAGGGATGTGGTTGAAGGCCTGGAGGAGTTGATCAGAAAGTACTCGGTTTCCATGAAGTTTAAGCATGTGGGTGATTTTACGTGGGTGCTCACAAATGTTTACGGACCGAATGACTACAGAAAGAGAAAGGAGTTGTGGGAGGAATTGGCTGATGTTAGAGGGTTGTAGAATGGTCCCTGGTGCATGGGTGGGGACTTCAATGTGATTAGATTCTCGGAGGAATCCAATAAGGTTAACCAGAGGGTGACAAAAAGCATGAGGAAGTTTAACAGCTTTGTGGATGACTTTGAGCTTAAAGAGATCCCCCTAGCTCATAAGACATTTACTTGGTCAAATCTCCAATCTAGACCCATTTTCTCTAAACTGGATAGATTCTTGTTCTCTCTGGATTTGGAAGATCATTGGGGAACCTTG